GAATCTTCGAAGCTCAAAAAAATGGTATTCAGACCAGCCCTAGTGTAGAGTAGCGCTTGTTGTTTGTCATTTCTCTGATCACAAATGCAGACATGGTTTTATGTTTACGCGGCGCAATGCAACGCAATGCGTAAAAAGACAGTATAAGTCATTATAATCCGTATTTATGTCCCCACTGGATGCAACAAATGCCTCGTTTGTAATTGGTTTTAATGTTTATGTCTCGTCGCTCCGGCCGGACACGGCATCAACAGTATGGTGAGGGGCGTAACATTTCCGTCTCATGCTTGAGGTATTCGGCCAATCACAACGCATTGGATATCTGGCCAATCAGAGCACACCTCGCTTTTCAGACCGATGAACTTTGTAAAAATCGATGCGTTTCAATAAGGCGGGGCATAGAGGAGAAACAATAATGTACAGTATGTGGAAAATAATGTGTTTTTTTTACTTTAAACCGCATAAACACATTTCATTACACCAAATACACAAAATAATGTTCTTTTTAGCAGCATCATATGACCCCTTTAAAACTTTCAGCCCATTAAAATGGAGAAATAAATTCTTACTTGTTTAAAACCAAGTAGTGCTAATTTAAAAAGAAGCATTTAACATACTTGGATGAGCTTTGATTTTACCATATGTTGTAAACACGTGTAGTAGGCTACTAATCCACAAATTACATTTTTAACGCACACACAAAACAAAGTACATAAAATAAAGTTGTAGGTAACCACTGATCTGTCGTCGTTTTCCCCTTCTCACTAGTAATTAAGGTGTGGATTTGAGGAGGGGAACCCGATCCTAGACCCGTTATCCCAGAGCAGCAGTTGGAATCCCACAGCATCTGTGGCCATATACACAAATTATGCACGCGGTCAGGGGAAGGCTAAGCTTTCCCCAGCCGTACAGACGCTCCGCCTATGTGTTTTGTGTCTGTACATCGGTGTAATTGCTTATGATGAGTGTGGCTCTCAACATATGCCAGGCTCTTGAGCGCAGCACACAAGTTCAGCACCATCGCTCTTGGACAGCGCCCTGCAGCCCGAGCTTTCAGTTCTATTCCAAAAATATCACTTTACAAGTTGGAAATAAAAACAAGCCTTGTGCTTTTTACAGTGTCATGTTTCTCCAAAACAACAGCAAAGTTCCAAATCAATAAACCATAATAAAGCGTATAATGAAGTTCACAGTAAAGTATAGATGGGAATGGGATGGGGTGTTTTCTTCACTCTCAGAACCATCCTCCTCCAGAGATTTTTAAAACAGCTGAATGGTTGCTGTCTGTCGCTAGTGCGTGAACTGGCACCAGAGCAATGCATGACAACCGCACGCGTTTGGACCCGCAGGAGGCTGCTGTGTGTTCTCTGATAGTGCGTGTATAGTCAAAAGGCAAAAAGTTTTAAAGCATAGGAGTATTTGGGAGCTTGTATAAGGTTTATGAATGACAATTCACCAACAAGACATGGCCCTTTCTCGCCCTCATCAGCCCCTCTCGGCAGAGTCTGATGGTTTGCACACAGACTCGCGGATTAATCTGGCAGCTGTCTCACAGCAGACAAAAATGAGATTGATGCCAGCCAAAACAGAGAGATCGCGCACAGAAAATCATTTCAATGGCAGCACAGAGCAGAAACCCGACAGCCACTGACAACCCGGAACGAAATCGACTAAATCAGATGAAGGCGGAACGTTTTTTCAGTCAGCACGCGCTCCGCCGCCGATGAGCAGCGCTGTTAATTAAAGTACACAAGCGTAAAATGTGGAATAAAGAAAGCGCGTGGTGTAACTAAGTTTACAAATATGTAGGCAATCAGTTCGCCTTGTTTTATTCATTTCGCTGCTCCCAAATTACGATTTGTCATTTGCATGTGCCGTTTATGTAATAAGACATCTAAATGTCGCCCATAATTTAGGAGAGACAGCTCTTTAACTTTGTTATAATGATGAGCCGCACGAATTATTTATTTATTTACTTTTAGATTGTAGCAATTTTACGAGGCCAGGTAAATAAATGCCTGTCACAATCCACAGCCAACATAAAAACAAAGAAAGGTATTTGGACATTTGAAGGGAACTTTCTCTCCAAAAAACATTGCATCTCACTGACTTTCAATGGACAAAAAAATATATATATATTTTTCAAAATATTTTCTTTTGTGTTTCAAGGAAGAAAGTCATGCATGTTTGGAATGACATGAAGGTGAGTAAATGATGACAGGATTCTTATCCCTTTAAGGATACATATTAGGTACTTTTTGAAGTGAAATACTAAATAATTTAATAAGTAATTACTGAAATATTAATAAGTTGACAAGTTAATAAAATACTATAAAATACTATGAGTATACTGAGTGTTTTATCAGTACGTTTTATTTAAGTGCTTAAACTGTTTTGTTGGGGCTGTGTTTACTTGTTTCTAGGTTTTTATGTAATGTGTTTGCTTAAGGCATAAGTGACTGTTGCAGGTAGGAGGAAGAGCTATATCATTTTCTTCCATTCTCCAAAAAGAAGCAGAGTTCAACTGTTGCACAAGGCCAGCAAAAAGACACAGCATGAACCCCAGCATGGGTAAATACAACAGGACACCATTAGTGACTTTGAGGAGGACGTTTTGGAGAACAGGAATAACAGAGCACACCCGTGTCTCTGGAAAGCCAAAGAGCAGAAGTGCAGGGACTATAAATATTAAACTGTGAACTTCAGTTGCATCAGAAATATTTCTACTGTTGGCACCACCAGCTAACAGCTTCATAACTGGTTTCTAAAGTAAAAGGAAACACACATTAAAATGTCTGGTCAAACTCATATGAGCAAGTGTGTGTGAGGGGAATTGCCTACAAACACACTCACTGGTACCTTTGGCCTTCTTTGCCTCCCCTGTATTTCCAGCCTCCATCTCTCTCTTTCTCTGATGTGGTTATGTTAAATTAGATTTCCTGCAGCATAGCTGATCTAATTGGACATAACTTGCCTTCGGGGAATGCCAGTATTACCCAGCATGCGTCTCTCAGGGGAGCAGTCATGAGCATGTCAGTGGTGGTGGTTTCTATGGTGTGGAGTGAAAGAGAGAAAATAGATCTAGTTGAGCACCTGTAAGACAGGTATGATGCAAACGCTACAATGCATCTTGACTTTCTTGACAAAATGTTTTTCTGTCAGCTATAAATATTGTTGAATGTCTAGGTCATAAAGTAGCATCTGATTCTGTTTTTATGGCTGTGCATTTGTCTGGTTTGTGCTGTCCTGAAGTTAGCTGATGTAATTCTTGGTCAATTCACCTGTCTGTTGCAGTTTAATGAGGTGATGGAGAAGCAGAATATATGTGGGTTTGTTCAAATATACACCAGCTCACATCACACTAGACATTGGTCTGTTTCCCTGTTACCTTCAATTTCAGACACACTGAGAAGCACATACACATAAGTAATACAAAACTGTAGACCATAAAGTCTAGACAAAACTAAAACCATACTCATAATACTCTGATATCCCAATTATTGTTAAGGACGAGGAGTGGTGTGACGTTACATGCAAGATAAATGAATTTTAGTGAAATGCCAATCACAGAGCTGTATACCTGTAGAATTCATCTGAGATCTTCTGACAGTTCAGTGCCACAGA